ACGAGGTGGGGGGGGGGACACGGGAGAGGGTGAGATGGGGAATGCGAACGAAGGGAAGTCGGAAAGAAGCAAACATGAAGCAAACATACTGAACACATGTCCAACAACTTTAGCTTGCAATTTGGAAAAAGGAGATTCATAATCCTAGAACACACACAGAAGCCCCCGCGACGGTCCCACCTCGGTCTCTGTCCGGGGATGCAGGGAACAAGCCATGTCCACCCATGGCGCCTGAACCTTATCAGGCGTTACCCAAAGACTGCAGACATGATTTGGAGCGTGAAACACAGGCATTGCGCATGGGCCAGCTAATTGCAGAAAGTCAGCTGTGCACTCTCAGCCAAGAAACCTCTGGGTCCGAAGGGCTTATTCTGTGCGAAGCACCAATGCCGCATGGTTCCGGCGGGCTATATGGCGGTTGGCATGGTCCTGCCATACCTATGCCTGCTTGCGCCCAACTGCCCTGCTCCGCAGGGTAGACACTCTCGGTAGACGCGAATGATGGGCAAGGCATTGGGTACAACAAAACTGACTCTTGAAGTGCCGTTCTTGCCGGTCCAGCAGGTGCAAAACTTGGCATCAAGCTGGGAGCAGGGCTGCCTAGATACTCAGGACCTGGCCTGGACAAATGGCTGGAGCTCCCTACCATTTCTCCACCGGCTTCCGAAACAGGAATCGGACGCAGCTCCACCTCTCCATGGGCAAACCTGCACCGCCTACCATAGCGGCAACCACCCGCACTGAACTGGGCACAAAGGCGCGTGCTGATCAAGTTCGGCTGAGGACGTAGGTCTGCTTCGGAGTGAGCAAAGTTGCACGCCTGCCCTCGGCGACATCGTCCAGATTCAACAAACCTGAGCTTCACGTTCGGCAGGCAAGTGAGACAACTAAAATTGTGAAGCTGAACAGGTCTGCTGTGCGACGGCCAAACTTCACGCCAGGCCACAAACCATGACACACGATGCCACTCAGCTAAAATCTCGAAACGGGCTAAGAGTCCCGGGCCCTCCTTCACTTGCACACAGTTCTGCGCAAGGGGCCCTATACAAATAACTGAGAAACTTGAAGCTTTCTAGCGTTGAAAGGAAGGCCAAGCTATGTCAATGCCGGGCGGTGTAAAATTCAGTGGGCTACAGTGCTACAGTCTATAGGAGCTTTGCAGAACGTAAGGCCCCAGCTTGCACATCCGGGTGTTTTTCAATGACTGCACTACCTGGACATGTGCCCAAGCTGCGCTGAGCTGCAAGATGTTGCAAGATGTTGCAAGATGTTACATCTGCACTTCTGGGCATGGGCGGAAGGCTCTCATTCACACTCAGAACACAAAAGCCGCGCCTCTGGCCTACTCATTGAACATGGCACCCAGGAAAAGAGACAGCTCCCCAAACCCAGGTCACCTTGCCCTGAGCCAGATGGGTTGCGACGTTTGAAATGTTTGTGCAGGTCTCAACCCACAGATAAAATCAGCCCAAGAACTGCTCGCATTGTGCTGCCGTAGGACCCAAACAGGGCAAGCCCGCTCCAAGAGCACCCTACTTAAGAGTCACAAGAGTAAACAACACCACTCTCGACCCAGCTCAAACGAAAGCATGCTCAACAACCCTATGACCCAATCACTTATCACAACTCACGTCCACGGGAAAGCAAGAGAATCCACGCCAATGCCAGAGGCCGAACCGATTGGGCTGAGACATCAGTAGGCACCAGCAACTGCATTCTCAACACCTCTGCCTGCTCTCCCATGTATGCTCTGAGACTTGCATAAACACAAGGGACTGAAGAACGAAAACTTGCTTGAGCCCGGCGAAAGAGCAGAAAGGTGGCCAAGGGAGAAGACATGCCGCAAAACTGAATCTAAGAGCGCGCACATCCCTACTTGTGTGTTCTGCGCTTGTTCAGTGTCTTGCCACTGGTGCCCCCTGACAGAGGGCGTGGCTCTTCCAGCTGGTCGACGCCGAAATCAAAGTCATGGTTTCCATAGCAAGCCGTGTGAATTCCTGACAACACGCAAGCACCCGCCGACTACACTGGCCAAGGTCTGCTGGCATATGGTGGACATTGATGCCAGTCCATGGCCTATGGCATTCAATGCCGGCACCATGTGCCTGGCAAAACGACGTCCACCGGAAGAGTCGAAAGCCATACTGCCATACTCGGCATTGTGGCGACTTGCTTGGTTGTCCGGATTCAAAGAGCCAGATCCACCTTCCATGCGTGGAGGTGGACCTCAGGACAATCCAGTGCTACATCCAATGCTGAACACAACACGTCAGCGCATCTTGCATGTTAGGTCTTCAGACCACCTGTTACATGTCGTTTACAGCAGCTCACCTGATTCCAGGCCGAATAAAGCGGTTTGTATTCAAGATAAAACCCAGCTTCTTCCAAACAGGCATCTCAGTGATCAGAGGGAGGCGAGGGCGCAGGGGAGGGTTACCTTCTTCGGTATGACCGTTTTCTTCTGACACTTCTGACTTTGCATCTATATGTTCGTTTTTGTTTTTTGTTGTGTTCCCTTCTTTATCGCTGTCCTCAACAATATTACGAGAGCTGACCATATTCTTGCATTGTGGTTTCTACATCCGCGCGACTCCCCGCACCCCACCGCCCCCAGCCCCCACCCACCCCCCCACCCACCCACCCCCGCACCCACCCCCCTCAGCTGCTGCCCTTCCCTGCTCTCCGCTGCCCTTGCCCGCTCTCACCCCTGCTTCCAAGCTTTATCGTGCTTCGAACGTGCTCGTAGAGTCCCGCCCTTTTTGGAGCCCCGCGCCGCCCCCAAAGTGAGCATCATCGACACCCATCTTTTTTGGGGGAGCGGGGGTTCGCTGATGCTCATGATGCACGGGACCGGGGTGCATCATCGACCCATTGTCTCTCCCAAAGGCCTCGCTGATACGCATGATGTTCGACCACTCGGGATCCCAAAAGAGACGCCCGGAAGCCCGAATCAGGCGTGAATCCATGAAGCTTTTGGAAGAGGTGCTCTGCGCCCGGACCATGGCTGTATGAAAATATCTGAAAGTATAGAGGAGGCTTTGGTAGGCTTTGGTGCTCCGGGGCCCAAGCCGCTGACGATGCGGACTCCGCAAACCCTAACCGAAACTCAAGCCTCGCAACCCCGAAGCCCGAAGGCCCTTAGCCCCTCACCAGATATAGAAAGCCCGTCTGAGAATCATTGGGCTTGTGGAGCAGTTATGTACCGCTCTCGGACTGTTCCCCGCCGACCAGACAATCATTATGCTCTCCTTGATGCTCTGCTGATTTGTCCCAAGTCGTTCTGAGTTTTTGTGGTGATGTTGGCGGGAACACTCGGTGGGGACAAGGTGGTGAAAACAAAGCTTTCAACCATGCTCAACCCATTTCCTCAAGTGCTGGGCATGAGGGATGGGTTGAAAGCGTCTCCGCTGAAGAGGATGACGGCCTCAACCGATCACACAGCGCCTTACATCACAGAAGCGGCCTCTCGCTCCAAGTATTGGCCAGCAAGAGATTCTTTGGCCCAAAAGTCCGCTCTCCCAACAAAACCTTGCGCCTCGTGCTCCCCTCGAGCCACGGACTCGGCCTGGCAAAGAATAGCTTAACTACCAGTCCCCTTGCGCATCATCGAACATGCATCTGAGCTGCATCTCTCTGCTTGAGACTTAAAGATGGGCAGGCAGAACTCACAGGCGACGCTGGTACTCGTTGCCACATGCTCCACAATCTCTTGTTGTTGGCAGTGAGCAGGGAAGTCAAGAGGGGTCACCCTTTGATTCACGCTTTCCACATCGAAATGCACGAGCCGAACTTGGTTCTCGATTCGCAGCGCGCAACCCCTAAACTCAAGTGGATTCCATCCGGCGGATCTCGGAACTCGATCCGACAAGACTTTCACAAGCCACAGCTAACGGTCCAGTCTAGCTCAGAGCCAACTTGGACCGCAACCAGTCGACTCAAATGCCGATCTGTTGGTTCAGGCAGGTGATTTCGCGACTCTCGGCCAATGTGGTCGGCATCCATCAAGGATACTCTCTAGTTCAAGCAGGGCCCACAACACTTCATGATCCGTGAGAGAGCGCAAAGTGTCCTTTGCTTAGGCCTCCACGCATGCGGGATCGCACCGAGAGGCATGAAGTACCAGAACATGGAGCGGAGTACTGAGCAAAGCTGTTCAGTCGACGCCTATTGCACGCGCATTGCAGTCAATGTCATCATGGACGGGTCTATAGAGGAGCACCAAGTTAACAGCGAAACGGCCATTAGGCAAAACTTGGCTACAGTAGCCTTGTGCTCTCAGATTCACCATGCTCATGGCTATCTTTTTCCAAATGGCCTCGGAGCATCCTATTGCATGAACAGCGCAGTTTGTCCTCGGACTTAACCGTGAACCATACCGGACTTGACAGGGCCCGGCCATGGCCTTGAGTTCCTTCATTCGCGTAACAAACCGCGCAATGCCGCCAACCGGCTCCTTGCGAAGTCGTGTCAAGTCTGAGGACTTTACTCAAATCCCGTCACATCCCGCGGAAACATGGAGTCCATGTCCTTGGACCTAGGTTCCACGTTGTAGACGTCATTGAAGTGCAAGATTGTCATTCTCTTGGACCTGGCATCATCAAAACCTTTGCAACCTATGTGACAAGGCATTGCCTGTGTCATAGCTTTTGTTCCTTCAACGCAAGCCGGGTGCACTTCTCGCCCCCCGATGTCTCAACCCAGGCACCACTCCCACCGGAAGTGTTGGCCTCCTGCCGCCTGCCAGGGCACGAGAAAGGATGCCGTCCGCTCATCAATGCTCTTCAAAAACGCACCCCTCACTCCCCACCCCCCCGCCCATATTTTTGTTGCTCCGAAACGGCTCTGGCTTTGTCCTCCGAAGGAAAGCCTCTCGGACAGACTGCATGGCCATCAAGCAGCCCAAACAGTAAGGATGTCTCGAAACTGAACCGTCAGCAACCGTCAGTGACGGCCAGATGTGCTTCGATTCTTTCCATCCTACTCACATATGTACAGAAGGCTCATGCCATGAGGAAAGACTGAATCCGATCTACTACATCTTGTCGTTGCTGGCCTCAGTTAGCAACAGACTTCAACCTAACACGGCTATGACCGAATGACCCATCCTCGCCAAGACAGAACGCTTCAATCCACGTCACATGCGCCGTGCCCGACGGTGTGCAACCACATAACGCCTGACAAAAAGGGTGCTCTTTGGCTCAGCGATGCTCATTGGACATCATGGGTCTTGGAACAAGTGCAACAGCCGGGCCTGCTGACTCACAATCCTGAGACAACTCCTCCAGAAGTCCAAAGCCGCCAAAGAATTGCATCCGGCAAACGGCAAACGAGGTCCTTGTGGAGCTGCGCAGCTGGAATCATGGTGTCAGTCTCTGCCTCATCCACTCGAAGTCGAAGTTTGCACGCGAGATCTGCAGCGCGCTCTTCTTCTTCTTCTCCACGCTTGAGAGGGCCCCGCGCTCTCTCTCTCTCTCTCTGGCTCTCGCTCTCTGTCGTGTGGTCCGAGTTCGGGACCAAGATTGTCAGAAGCCTGCAGGTGTGCTACAAAATTGTGTTGCGTCGCGTCAGATTGCCACAATCACAAGGACTGAGGTGTCCCATTTGATGCCACTCAATCCCACTCAAAAATCCAAGAGTACAGGACCGGATAATCCCACATGTCAGAAGTACTACGGATTCGCAAGGCGGGTTTTGCGCAGGCACCGACATTCAACAGTATTTGCCAGGGTTTTGTACCATGCTAGCTGCGAGATTGGCAAGGTCGGAATTAAAGTACGACCGTACAGTACTTGCGAGAGAGCTTTGCATAGGTCAGTAATGCCGTACAACGATGTTTGAGGGCTCTGCAGTTTTGCAAGTGCAGAATTCCGATTTGCGAGGGTTTTTCCACGCGGAAACGGACCACGGTATTTGAGAGGGTTGCAAAAGCGGAATTCGGGCACAAAGTTGCTTGCGAAGGCGGCTGGCCCGCACCATTGCGAGGGTACCACCGCATTTTGCGACGGTACTTGCCATGGTGTTGGAAGGATGGAACTCGGCTACCATGGCATTGCAAGGCGGAAATTCTAGTACCTCGGTAGTTGCAGGTGGCACGGGAATTGCAAGGGTTTGTGTCGAGACCTTGATGCCCCAAAATTCGCACGTCTCCCTCGAAAGCCTCGAAAACGTATTTAAATACATCCGGGAACCAAAAGCACTCCCAAAATGCGGTGGAGCAGCAAAGCAGCAAACAACATCAAACAACAAAAGCACTCACAAACCCATAGTGAGCCATAGTGGAAATAGCGCTTAATCGGCACTTCTCGGAGCTGCTGGCGCCTATTCTGCCGGTTCATCTGCCGGAGCAGACCTCGATCCAGGTATTCTGGACCATGCAAGGCACGGCTGTTGACCCAACCTCATTTTGTCCATGTTCGGTGCATATGTATCCTGATCCCGTACCACATCACTTCATGGATCTAGGCTCTTCACGTGTTTGAACTGTCCACACTCCGAGCAGCAGTAGACCAAGTCGCGGAAAATGAAATAATTGAAAAAGTATATCTGAAAAATGATCCTGAGCTTGTCAGGATACAGCATGCTGTCATTGTCACAACTGCTGCAACACGGAATAATATGGGTGACTAATTTTCTGGCTCTCAGAGGGTCCACTTCCTCCGCTCCGCGGCGGCAGCTTCCTGCGCGGGAAGCTCTCAGAAAAGAAGCAACAAGATTGACAAGACGAGACGAGATGAGACAAGATGATACGAGATGATAGCTCGGGCATCCTGGAGGTCAGAGAGACGATGAGATCACGGGGAACACGCAAGCGATTCACAGAAGATCAGTAGAAGGGACAACGTTGCCGCGTTGGAATGAAGCACAGCTACCCTGAGGTTAGTATTTCTCCGGCCTGGCCAAGCTTGTCGATGAACGGCTCTGGTTTGTTCACTATGCTTCGCAGCACTTCCCACATCGTGGGAGCAACACTTAAGCCATTCGACTCTGCCAGGAGTTCCATTGCCACATCATGCGGGGTGCGCCGCCTCAGCTAGCCAAAACGCCGCAACAAAAGCCTCATCACGAGGTCATGCGATATGCGACAGCCTGACTCTGCTCAGGTCTACCTACCATTGCAGCCAACATGTTCATCTGCGCCACAGCAGCTGCGCTTGCTTGGAGATGCCTCCCGGAACCCAAAACGAGCCAGCCTTTAAATTTTAAAAAATGCAGAAGGGCAAGGGCTTGTTCGTGCTCCCGGAGATCGAGGATGCCGCCAAGTGGGTTTAGAATTGGCAAATGAAGATTTTAAAAAAGTTCTCCGGCTGATCTGCAGTTCAGGGAAGAATGCCAAGAATGCAGCGCAGTGCCATGTTTGTCGAAGAGCCTGGGAGGAAGCACATTGGGTCCATAAGCACCGTCCGCCGAACTGTCACGGACGTCAAATCGCAAGCTTTGCGAGCCTGCCACGACAATGGCTTGATGCTCGACGGCACGCAACAACCCTTCATCTCATCTCAATTCAATTCAGTCTTAAGGTAGGGAAGGACGAAGTCGCCATCACAAAGCACTTCAGCTGTGATGCAGAAACCCGTCCACAAGAGCTCCAGAGCAGGCCTCCATCTCCCGCACCAACGCCGAAGCCACAGCTGTGCCAAAGCTGTGGGCTAGGATGTCGACCTGAATCCCGGGCCTTGGGGTGTCAAGATGACTACGACACAAACATGTCTTCAAAATGCGCATCAGAATGTCTTCAAAATGTTCAAACTCGTTCAACGTCCTGGGAATTCCTCAGTCATTTCGGGCTTGGGATGGCTTGGGATGGCTTTAGCAACCCCCAAAAAGCCATGTGAAACAGCGGTTGGATGCAGCAAAAACTTCTGCTTTTTCAGACCTGTCCGGGCCTCTCGGCCAGGTACGCCGCGACAGCAGCTGAAATCTGTCGAACGGTGGGAATTTTCGCCAAATCTCCCCGGACAGGAACTCTAGTCACCATCAGCCACCTTGGACATCTAGTGACGTCTAGCATAGTCACCAAACAAGTTGCTGAAACGATTCAAGCACTCCAGTCTCTGCAAAATCCAGCAAAGGCCGCTGACAGTCCACGATGATGACATGTCTGACAGAACTCGTTTGCATGGCTTCTTCGGCTCTGATGGCAAAACAGCTTAGTTCTATGCCATCCGCAAAACGTCTCACGTACTCACTCCAGAGCCTCCTTCGGAGGCTGGGAATCATCCACTCAAAGAGCGGCGATGCCAAGCCTTCACTGGAGTCGCTGCAGCGCAGTTCCACAAGTTCCACAAGTTCCACAACCTAACGCTGAGTGAAGGTGACTGAGTCTATGCGTCGATACGTGTCTCGTAGCGTGAAAGATTTGGAATTGGAAGCCAGCCTCGCCCGTAGCCGTGGAGCACCACCAGGGGCGGCTCACCCTCGGGCTCGCTCAGGCCCTCTTCACCACCCTTGCGCTCCCAAAAACCTGGAAGAGCAAGCGGCAGTAGTGGCCAGGCGATTTAGGCACGTTCTTTGACAGCTCCCTCGCTCTCCCCATCTCCCTCCGGGTCTTCTTCTGTCTGTCTTCTGTGGTATAGTGGTATAGTGAGTGCAAAGGGTGCGTGAGGTGGTGAGGGGGTGTGGTGCGGTGACTAGTGTGGTGCGTGGCCATGGTAGTGAATGGTAGTCGACGGTGGTGGTGGTGGTGGTGGTGGTGGTGGTGGTGGTGGTGGTGGTGGTGGTGGTGGTGGTGGTGGTGGTGGTGGTGGTGGTAGTGGTGGTGGTGGTGGTGGTGGTGGTGGTGGTGGTGGTGATGGTGGTGGTGGTGGTGGTGGCGGTGGTGGCGGCGGTGGTGGTGGCATAGCAGTAGCGATAACAGTGGATGTGTCGGTGGCGGTGGTGGTCGTGAGGAGTGGCGCGGTGTTGCTTTCTGCCTTACGGTTTGTTGGGCGCGAGGTTGCCCAGTGTTTTTGCTTGCCACTGCTCCATGGCGGGTCATGCTTGGCGACGAACTCTTCCGCCTTGGTGTGCCACCATAGCCTATCTTGAGCGTTGCTGTCCCAGTCTTGCCCCCCCACACTAGCGATGGTTCGCTCGATGTCCGTGTGGCGGTTGAACCGACCAGGATGCCGCAGCCCCCGGGGATTGGCTTGTTCTGCTTTCCACCAGCGCTGTCCCCGCCATGTGGCTTTTCTTTCTTTCTTTCTGCGCACCTAACCCCCCTCTATTGAGGAGGGCCGCCCGGAGGCGTGCGTTACATGGTTCGGCGGACTAACCGATGTTGTGGGGTTTCCGGGGTTTCAAGGCCAGCTATTAAGAATAATTGTAGTGGGAAATCCCTTCGACCCCCTGTCCAACATGGTCGTCCCTTCGCCCCTCCACAGTGCTACTTGGCTCCCACTGCTGCAACCCCTGCGACAACTACTACAGTATTACGACTATGCGCCCATGATAAATCCTCTTGCCTGGGGAGCCATACTGTGGGCTGTTCAGGGCGGTGCGTGTGGTGAGACTCAGTGCGGGATATTGAGCACCGCATATCTAGTGGTGGTTTTCTCCCAGCTATGCCTAGTTCAGGCCATCTGCTCCCGTCGTACTGCGTTGGTTTGTTGGGGTAACTACTCGCACAGCTTGCATGCGACTATGTGAAGACAAGTACTGCGTGAACAACGACTGTTGGGAGGTTGGCCAGACTTGCTACTCTTCCTGGTGGGCGTTTTTCCCGGGGTAACTGTTGCCACCGCGTGTAGGATTTTGTGGAAGATTTCGGGGTAGTACTGGCGGTGCAGTTGAGGGTGCAGTTGAGGGTATCATTGCTCGTTTGGGAATCCACTCTCTTTGGGGTTGCCCCTTATGACCCCTGGATCTTCCATGGATAGCCTGTGAGGCCGGCCTGCCAGTCCCATTTCAATTCAGGGCTGCCACTACAGATCTGATCTAGTTGGTGCATACGAAGAAAAACTTTTGGGCTTGTATGGGGAGGTGCCTGTTGGTTGCTACAGCTTGCTTGGGCGTTTCTGGGGTAACTATGGCCACAGCGTGCATGATGTTCTGGGGGTCTACCAACCAAGTTATCGCCCACTGTAGCTCTTTCCCTAGTAGTGGCAGCGTCCCCTTGCAGCTATTTGTTGGGTCAGCCAGAGCTAGGGAATCTCCGTTCCTATGAAGGGGTGTAGACGAGTTGCCATAGCTGCTGGGGCCGCTCCGCGGTCAGTCACTACTGGCGCCGTTGTGTGTTCGACGGCGCCGGTCGTCCGCAGGATGCTCTTCTTGTTCTCGGTGCTCCGGATCGTGTAGTTGGCGAAGGGGACGTGGGGGCCAGGGCATAGTTTCCGGCGTGGTAAGGCCTCCATGTTCAGGTGAAGGTGCCTCTCCCGTTGGTTCCCTTTCCGTGAGCTTGACGTGCGTAGTGGAGGACTTGGTGTAGTTGTGGGGCAATATGTTGTCGGTGTAGTCCGTCTTGTATTTGTGTGATGAGCTCGTGTAGGATCTCCACCGCTTCCCCCTCTCTTTCTTTCTTTCTTTCTTGGGGGCATGGGGGCAAGCCCCCGGGCGTTCTCGCCCGCCCCGGTATTCGGGGGGCCTCGGGTCGGTTTGGTTGGAGGAGAGGAGAGCACGGGACCGTTTCCCCCATCTGTGCCCCCATTAGTGCCCCTCAGCGGTCCTGCCTTTGCCCCTCTCTCTCTCTCTCTCTCTCTCTCTCTCTCCTGCACGCATGGCCCCCCCCGAAGGAGAGGCCGCCCCTAGGGGCGCCCCTCTCTCTCTCTCTCTTCTTCTTCTGCTGGGCTTGAGGGGGACCCCGCAATCCTCCCCCGCGCGCACGCGCGAGTTCGTTGTCCAGCGTGACACCCTTCAGGGTTCCTTATTGGTCCCCTTGCTTGCTTGCTTGAGTTGGTCCGCTCTCTCTCTTTCTTTCTTCCTTGGGGGCATGGGGGCGAACCCTCGGGCGTCCTCGCCCGCCCCTCTCTCTCTCTCTCGTTCTTTCTGGGGGCACGGGGGCAAGCCCCTCTCTCTCTCTCTCTCTCTCTCTCTCTGAGCCTGCTAACCGGCTAACCGGTAAACCGGTATCAGAGGAGTGGCTGAGGTGGGGCAGCGCCGAGTCTGCGCGTGTCTCCACAAAACCCTGGCATTGCAAGCGCCTCCTTGCGACGTAGCGCTGGCCCTGAGCAAACAAGCGTGCGATTGCATTTGCTACATACGCTCAAAATGCGAGACAGCGACAATGAGAAACGCGTGCACAAGAGATGCACATTTTGCGACTGGACACAACAGGACGCAGACTACTGGTGCAACGCACCGAATGTGCAAGGCCTCGAGAAACCAGCGAAGGAAAAGCGGCTTGTACCAAGCTTCAACCTCAATCAGCATGCAACAATGAAATCTGTGTGTTAAACCAACTTGGATTGCATAGCGATGTGTCGGTCAGCACATAGCTTGTTTCCTATTCTGTGAAAACTTGGTTGCCTGCGAATTACATTGAAAACAATTGCAAAGGCCTTGGTTGGGCATTGAGATGGGGGGGGTGGGGCGGGGTGGGGGCTGGTTTGGGGGGGGGGGGGGGGAGCTGTTTACGGAGACAAAAACCGCAGAAATCAGCCCTGCCCCTCGAACTACCGCACCACTCTCACACCAACACACACACACACACTCACAAACATTCCCTTCTTCTTCTTCTCCAAGGCTTGAGAAACTCGAACGAAACAGCCACTCAGTGCACACCATACTTCCCCCGTGCTACCCCAACAAAAAAAACCACCGACTGACACCGCTCATTCCAAAGTCAAGTTCCTGTGTCACAGCGGCATGCTTTGGCCCCTGCGTGCGACAGTCGATCTAGCTGCCCCCGTTCAGCGTTCCATTTCGTCTAGTTGCCCCAGCTACTCCAAGCGACTCGCACTCACAAGGTTGCAAGGACAGCAGCGCCTAAACAGCACACACACTATCAATCTATCTCTCTCTCTCTCTCTATTTTTTTGTTTTCTGTCTTCTTTCTTTCTTTATTTCTTTCTTTCTTTATGCCTTTCTTTCTTTCTGTGTTTCCTTCTTTTTGTTGTTTATTTGTTTCTTTCAATGTGTGGTTCCTTCTGTTTTGATTTCTTTCGCTCTTTCTTCATTTGTGTATTTGCTTCCTTGCTTCCTTGCTTCCTTGCTTCCTTGCTTCCTTGCTTCCTTGCTTCCTTGCTTCCTTGCTTCCTTGCTTCCTTGCTTCCTTGCTTCCTTGCTTCCTTGCTTCCTTGCTTCCTCGTTTCCTTGTTTCTTTATTTATTTGTTTATTTGTTTCTGTGTGTCGTTGTTTCTTTGTTGCCTTGCTTCCTTGTTTTCTTCTTTCCGTCCTTCTTTCTGCTTGTTGCGTCTTTGTTTCTTCGCTTCTTTGTATCTTTGCGTCTTCGTTTCTTTCGATTTTTTGTTCGCTGTTTCTTTGTTTGTCTGCTTGTGAGTTTCTCTGCTCCTCCGTTTCTCTGCTTCTCTGTTTTTGCTTCTTTGTTTCGTCGCTTTCTTTGCGTGTTTGTTTCTTTGCTTCTGTTTTTGTTTTGATTTTTTTCGTGTCTCTTTGTCTCTTCGGTCGTTGTTTTCTTGTTTTGCGTTGTTCCCTTATGTCTTTGTTTCTTTGGTTCTTTGTTCTTTTGTCTATTTGTTTCTTTGTTTCCTTGTGTCTTTGTCTATTTGTTTCTTTATTTCTATGTTTCCTTCTGTATTTCTGACACACACACACACACGTGTACATACATGTAGATGTGGGTGTGTGTGTGTGTGTGTGCATGTGTATATGTGTTGATGCATCCTTGTGTGTCTGTGTGTCTGTGTGTCTGTGTGTCTGTGTGTCTGTGTGTCTGTGTGTCTGTGTGTCTGTGTGTCTGTGTGTCTGTGTGCGTGTGCGTGTGCGTGTGCGTGTGGGTGTGCGTGTGCGTGTGCGTGTGCGTGTGCGTGGGTGTGCGTGGGTGTGCGTGGGTGTGCGTGGGTGTGCGTGGGTGTGCGTGGGTGTGCGTGGGTGTGCGTGGGTGTGCGTGCGTGCGTGCGTGCGTGCGTGCGTGC